ACACTGATAGATTTGGATTTAGTCATGTGCACACGGAACACGCCGATGTCAATAAACAAATGACATTTTAATATCATATACATCCGTGAATGCTTGGTGAGACTTATGCGATGTTAGCGTTACGTTCGCGCGAATGGTGCTCTGTGCTCTTCATCGTATATCAAGCATACAGATGGCAGAAAGGGTGAGGATACTTTGGAATGAGATCATCGTGTACCGGAGTGCATTAAAACGTCCTCATGGAAACTTCTCGCAGAGATCATTACGATTTAAATACCTGCACCGGTGCGGATACATGCGAGATCCTTGTTTTTTTTGATAACTTATCTACTAGCATCTCCGACCAACTCTCAGATAAAACCTGAAATGACGGTTTAAAAAAAACGGCACAACCATATGTGCCATTGAAAATAATAAAATAATATTTCACGTTCAAATATTACGATCATCATGCCCGTGGTCTGCGCTGCTCGCCGCCGCTTTCGTTCTACTCCCAAAGATACCGAGGTTCGCACGTTTGAATTCGCGTTGTAGCGTGTTCAATTGGATAAAAATATAAAACGTGTATTGATGCGTTTTTATTTTTGTGTGTAGATGCTCGCGCTTGGGCCGCACACCAGTAGTGAACGCGGGGGTTATATGAGTTCCGTAGAATACGATTTGTGTATTTTTGTGCGTTTATTCGACGATATTATACAACGTTTCGAGTGGATTTATTTCGTCGGTACAAAGATGGTACAATACAAGGCACAATAATAATAATTCATGTATCGCCAATAAAATAGTAGTAGTGCGCCAACACAATATTTGCAGCCGGTTGTTTGCACGAGAGCCGCTAATAAAACATCATTCACGCGCAAAACTACCGGTACCGGTGCCGCGCCATTTGAAAACAAAACGTAATACCATTGATTAAATATGCATAGATAGTCCAAGTCAGTGGACAATATGGAAACATAAATATTAGTAACTTAAGAATGCCAATAGGCAGCGGATACAGTAATAAGTTGTCCATTAATTATAATAAACAATTACTATTGAAAAGAAGTTGACAATGAAAACATATACAGTTGGTGAGGGGTACGCCGTGCGACCCAAAAGATCTTAATTGTCTATTAAATTGCGATAAGAAGTACCTATTCCAAGAATATAAATTAATATAAATCGCTCACGTACGACATAATACATTTTATTTCACCGATTTCAATAGTGTGCTTTTAGTTTTGAAATTAAAGTGAATTTACCTATTATCGAACATTTAGGTAAGAAAATTATCTGTTTTCTCTAGTTGTTATTTTTAAGATAGCTACAATTGTTATGAGTATGAAAAATATTAAAAGCTCATAATTCACTTAAAAATTAAAATATCATAAAAAACCAACGAGAAAATATAGATAATGTTCTTACCATCAAATTTCATTATAGGTCAATCCATTTTAATTTTTAAACTAACGAAGCTAAACCTAATCTGCTGAACATAAATTTGCCATGTTATGCGCTTGTAAGACGGAGAAAACAATTGTCTTTGTAGCGTCGATTCAACAGTTATAAAAATTATGTACATATATACCTACTTAAATAATACCATAATAATTATTATATTTATATTATATTATTAATGATTTATTGTAGTTAACTGTTATGATTTATAACTTATATGTCAAGTAGTTAAGTCAAAAAAATTAATTTAATATCGTCCAAAACCGTTTTTGCAATTTTAAATATTCGATTCCGCATTGATAGTGATAACATTAATAATAAAATAGATGATAGCTAATGGTTCTTGGTAAGACAAAACATTTTCATGGCAGAACAAATTACTAACAGCGCAATCTATTGACATGGCTTCCACACTACTAAAATTCTGGTTCCCATTTCACTATAAATCCTTAACGATATTTCCTATCGCTTGAAGTATCTATGTATATTTAATCAATGGTAGTACCTAGCGGATTCTAAAAAGCCGAAACGAACAGGGGCCAAATGAAATACGTAATTTTACACTTGAAAAATAATAATGATAATTTATTGTTATAGAACGTTAAAGTGAGTAAGTTTTCGAGAAAACAAACACCGCGTCTAGATATTGTTTTTAAAGAACTTAAAAAGTAAATACGCGTCCGACGAGCATAATGTGCGCGCAATAACAGTTGTTACAAAACTTAAGCGTTGCGAGAAGAAATATCTTAAAGTGAAAATCTGTGTTCGTAGCGAAACAACGACGAGTTCTTGCTCCAAAGGACTGTAATAATACATTTTGAATAATTAACACGTGAGAAATGCACCACGCACAGACGTGTAAGAACTAGGTCATCACTAACAATCTCGTAGAAGATATAGGACACTCCATTATATAGTTATAATTGTTTAAAAATTTTATACGAGAAACGCTCGCGGTCAAGCCATAACAAATATTATGCAACGGATGCAAGAAGTTTATCATCGAAAGAGAGGCCTTACGGAGATGACCAAGTTTGGCAACGAGTGATATGAATGATAATTATATAACGATGACAAGTGCTATCTGTTGTCTGTATAACAGTAAGAGTGAAACATATTCTATGGGGATTGAAATAAACTATCTTTCGATAGTTACAATTAGATTGCTGTGAGAACTTCTTCGTGTGGTTTCATTTAATCCGCTTCTTTTAAACTTGGAAAATTCCCATAATCATTATATGATATTACATATTGACTTGGAGATATGCATTTTATCCGTCCAACTCTACGCGTTATATTATTTCGTCGGTTCCCAAAATAATACTCGGCAATAGTGATATAACATTCAATGGATCGAAACTATATCCTAATAACCTACCTATACATTATTTATATCGGAAAAATCGTTGTTCGGTTTCGTCGTCCGTGAAGGTAATAATCCGTAGGCATTATACAAACGTTGCTTCGCAGTTTTATTTAAATGTCGTATCGATCACAGTGAATTAAGCACACGGAATGCTTATATATATATATATATATATATATATATATATATATGCGAACGGATTATCTGATCGTATTTTTTTAACAGCCTAGTGTTTAATGCGACAACAATAATACCGGCGCAACGAATACGCATACAATTTTGCGAAATCGAATACGAACGCGTTATTACGACGACATCCGGTCGGTGCATATTGCCAGATCTAACCGATATTAGTGCCGCAATTTTATTAGTATTCTTCGTCCAACTGTATTGACTCGGATATTGCGCATGCATTCAGTAGGCGTTTTATGTGAATACTTAAGGTGCGCTACGCGTAACCATACCCGATCGAGTTGAATACGCAGTTGAATCTATACTCAATGAACTTAACAGTTATTGGAAAAAATTTTACTGAAAACGAACACAATTATTTTTACCGGACGAAACGTATACAAACAATGACGCATATCGTTTACAATAATAATGCACAACAATGAATAATAAATTACATTAATAATGATATCGGTAAATGATGATGTGTGTCCGTGTTTGTATAAATAGCTCCGCGTAGCTCGTTGAAATTGTTTACCAAAAATTTTTACTAACCGATGACAATAGGTGTATAAATATATCGCAGAATAATAGTATGAAATTAGTTCGTTCAACGGAGTTTTCTAACGAAAATATCATGGTCAAATAAAAAAAATAAAAAATAATAATGCGTTGTGCAGAGTTGTTCGACGGTACGCGTTTATCACACGGAGTTTCGAGGACGTACGTATAATGCTTTACAACACTGCTACTACTACAGTACGTAATCACGGACATGTTTTCACGAATCCTACCGGTTACACGGGCGCGACGCAAACGGTTCTATTACAATTTTTTCGCCCACACCCGTTTCGGCGCGCGTCATACATTTGGTCAAGTGTAAGGCTTTTTGGGCGGGTGCAGTGAATACTTTTTGAATGTAATCACACTACGCAGTGCCGTAGCAACCAAATGTTGCATCCGGGGCGAAACTTCAAAATTCGCCCTTATGTATTTTTAATTTAAAAATATTATGTTTATTAGATATTATTTTCAATGCTTGCTTCAATTAATATGGTAGGATTTAAAAAACTTTGTAAACAAAATATACGGCATTGATCGTTGTAATTGTTAACATTAAATGCATGATTTTAATTTTTGCGTACCTTGGATGCGCGACGACTGCGTAGTTCATCGGTCCCGAGGTTTTCCGGGGCGATTACGAGTAAATGTTCTTCGGCAAACCAATGACATTACCTACGGGTAACGATGCGGCCGTTCAGACCAGCACTGTACCACCGTGGTCCCCCGGGGGATGATGCGAATCCAAGATTTAAGTCCTTTCGGTTCCTTCTCCATTACTACCGCCTTAATGCAGCCTTGTCACCATTCCTTCTCCTACACCCCCCCCCCACCATGGTTAGCAATGGTAATGTATCTCTCTAGATGTTATGTTTGTTGTTTGTGATCCGAGAAACGCCTAGGATTAAGCCTGACCACCAATGCAAATACTTACGGTAGAAGGGTTAGGGACTGCGGAGACAGCTGTTGGTGTACATAATGTACATAATATATATATTATACTAAGTGTTCTAGGCAATAGGAGAGAATTAGTTGGTATAATAATAGACGATATAAAATGTATATAAAAACATTTGGTCAGTTTATATATACATATCAATGAGAGCGAAAATTGTACACTGATTGTCTGTGCACAAGCATGGTTAGTGGAATGTTTGGCAAAAATTAGGTATATATTCTATATAATTCCTCACTTTTTTCCAACACAATATACGATACAATTTAAGTATAAAATGGATTTGGAATAGAAAATTCTTAGGACTCCAACTCGAAATCGGGAAATTTCTAGTTTTTTTAAGTTTCAGATGCCTGTACGGAACAATTTATTAAAAGTCACTTACAATACTCGTGCGCTAGACCATCGACAGATTATATTGTGGAAATTCAATATTTTCTAATATATATATATATATATATATATATGAGTATCATAACGTAAAGACAATATATCACAAGTTCTTACCTTCTTCAGTGTTCTACAGTTGGTTATGCGTTATCGAATTCAATGTTCCATCGTCATGTTGAAGAAAACCACATGACCGACCATGAAATTTGCTCGTCCTTTGAGTGTCTACAACTCAATTATACGCACTGTTGTCTACTTGAATGTCACTGTCTGAATAATCGACACGAACGGGTATCGAAAATGACTAGGAACTCGAATCTTTGATCCTGCACGAATAACATTACAAATATCGTGTAAGTGAATTCGGTAGAACAAAAACGTAGTTATTTCCGGACTACGTGAATAAAATGTAATATAATATACTATCATAGACTGTGAATCGTAAGATACAACATAAACTGTAAATAAATCGATAGGTAGACAGATTCCCATTCGATTTCTGAGTATTTTCTATGAAAAAAATGTTCGATTACAATCGGGTTTTATTTTTCCACTTCCGGGTATTACCCTTCTATCACTATCACATGCTACGTTTTATAAAACACTTCTTTGTATTTTGTTCTTTGGCAGTACATAATTTGCTGTAGATCGATATATATATATGCTTAATACCGTAACACCGGCGATAACATCGAGCTATATAAAATATCATTGGAATACGTCGTGAATATACGTGACATATTTTTGCACGAAAAACGGTGCACGTAGACATAAATGTTCACACATTACGCGTTAACCTTGTTTGCTTCCGACTCCGGTTCCATAATATAATATAAATATATTTACGGTACGTCCTAGAGAAAGAAAAATGAAAAGAAAAACCGAAGAAAAAAAAAAACCAGACGATCCATGCAAAACTAGAAATAAAACTTACGGGTGAACGGCGACGAGAAAAAATTCTCGGTTCCGACATGGGAGTCGGTTATTGAGAGGTTATATGGGGGTGCGCGACAGCTTAGTGAAAAATTGATGCTTATACATTTCGGAGTTGCAGTGACTAATTTTTAAGGACATGACTTACGAGCGAGGGATCAATAACAGTTATTGCGCTACGAACAGTGACGGAGACGTCAACACCGTCACGTCCGATGATAATCTACAAGAAAAATAACGAGATTTCGGTGTTTATTACATGATACGATATATTACATCATACGGTAGAAAAATTCTTTGCAAACACCGCGATGGGAGAACCAAAAAGGGGTTGCGAGCTAGCATACCTAACATCACTGTATTATACAATCGTAATTGAACGGCGTGAGAAATTGTTCGCCTTTTTCAGAGTGGCACGGTTTACGAGGTAGTTTTGAGCGTTTATTCACCATGACCGATACGATATGATTTCCGCGAGCAATAAGCACACGTCAATGCGGAACGTCGAACGGAAAGTGACACGATCGAGTAGGAGATTGGAACCGATTTAGCATGCGAATGGTATTAGCCGCCATCCTGGCCCACGCGCATTTCACTGAGTGAAGTTCAATAAAACAAGTCAAAAGGAGAGGGTCGCGCTTTGACATTTCGGCATAGAAAGCTGGTGCACGGAATGGGCGAGATAAATGTCTGGAAATGCAATATTGGAAGAATGTTTAAAGCTATTTGTGACTTTTAAACAAAACTTTTTTCGCCAGTTCACCCACCCCCTTCACGCTGCTTATCGGTGATCAGAGAAAATTTACGATCTGAAAATTTCAAGGTACCAATAACTTTGGAAAGTTTTCGCCTGAAAAGTTTGGTTAATTCAACAAAATATGTACTGGGTTACCTGGTAAATTTCGTTGTCTTGGCGAACGGAATGGGGTAGCGGTGAGGTTAGATCCCTTTGAACTGTTAAAAATAAAAATGAAATTCGTGTATTTTAGTTTTATTATTAATTTATTTTTTTACCACGTGAAACATCAACTAACGTCTAGGTAATTTAGTTTATTTTCTCTGGAAGTTTCCACTGCCAGGCAAAAGGTAATAAAAATACGATTTGCTAGCTCATGGATTAGGTGTTTTATCAAAATGTAAACAAGTCTGATAACCAAACGAAATTGGTCCGATGCAAGCGCTTGGTAAACAGCAATCATAAATTCCGTTTAAATTGAGTTTACAATTCTCACGATGACGACATAATAACGCAGCAACGGTGGCGGCACACTTTTCTTATGTAACTTAAGCGTTACACGAAGGGTTGCTACGGCGGTCGAAGTAGCAAAATGAAGTCACAATACATATACACGAAAAGAGAAAAAAAACAGTGAAAATTACTTATTTATGCAACATAATTTATGCGTATAAATTGCTGGTAATGATAAACCTATACGGTTATATGCGTACGGTCACACCCTATTTCCTCGCGCAACTTAATTCGTCTGGTACGCGTACTCCAACACACCACCACGCATATGTACACACCAAAACGCATGACAAGCCTTTGCACTCTATGCCGCCTCTGATTACATTATTCTTACTAAACCGATGATAAAGTATGAACTAAGTTCGGCGCGCGTTCCCCGACCGTATTTAAAAACATTATTCAAGTAGATAAGAAAAGTTTCGTTTTATTTATTTTTTTTCATTATTCAATTCCACGCGAAAAACACACAGCAATAAAGGATACATTAAGTTGATTTATGGTCCGACGTTGAGCCGGCGGTGGGAGGAACGAGCTCTTGATTACGATTTTATAAATAATACCTGAGGTGGTTTTGCTCGTAAACTGTGTGAGCTGAACAACACGCATCTTATCGTCGCCGACGGATAGGAATGTATCTAATTACGTTCCACACCGATTTGTCGTATCGTTAACTATAAAAACATATATCCACACACACACACTAACATAATAGATTTATTATGTTGCCGTTAAGGGATATACGAGTAATATAATTCATTAGTCAGTAAAATGAACAGTTATTGTACACCAAATAACCGAAAAAAGCTCGTTAATGCACGTATTAAGCAATAAAACGAGGTGATAATATAATACATAGAAGACAGTTGAAACATAATCAATGAAAAGTAAACACAATTCATAAGATTTATCACAAAGCCCAAATTATAAATTGGGCTTTGTGATAAATCCTGTAACTCTTTTGCATCGCTTCCGACGGTAATTTCGATGATTTTACACGTCAGCGATAACTCGTGTTGGGATCCAGTTCGTAACGAGTTGTTATATTTTATGGTTCATTCTGATTGTGTTTGATGTTTTTAGTTTCTGATCCAATGCTGACTATCGGCATACATGCGTGAATATAGTTTTCACACTCAATCATGTTCGATAAGAAATCTTTGTACTCCTGGGTTAATTGTTCCAACCTCGAAATCCTTGATTTAACGTAAGCACTGCTGTAAGTGGTAATTATTTTAACTTAACTATTTTATTTGAATTATTTTCCATTATTCAGGTTATTATTAACAGCGTATATTGGTAATAATGGATGAAATAATACTTGCCACCAACTATAAACTATCAGTGCAGTATTATATTCACGCTCATATATTATATTTAATAATGCATCATATAAATGTATTTTATATCGCATGGTCGTTCATATAAATAAATAAAAATAGAAAAAGTTAGCCCCATTTTACTTTTGACTGATTATATCGTATTCCTGCATGTCAACTATATGTGCATGATTAAAAATCTTATAAAAAAAAAAAAAAAAAAACGTGATGTAAGCTGAGTATATTTATTTTATCAAAAAATATGATACTGTTGTCGAATGAATTGACAGTCGATATCTTTCATAAAAAAAAAAAAATATTTACAATAGATAACCTCCCACGAAAGGTGGATTAACAAATAATTTATAATCATTACAACGTTGTTTAAAATACTAAAATTGTCAGTTCAATTCAATATATTTTTATATATTTTTACACTGTGGATTAAAAAATAATAATGAAAATCAAAAGTAAGCAATAAATAAATAGCATTTCAGTTTTTCAGAACGAGTCAGAAAAAAATGAAAAATTAGAAGTTTTATTTAACCATCATAGCATTCACATTATTTAGGGTGTTAAATTTATTGTTTTTATAATTATAATTAATATACAATACGAGAAGAAGGGAGAAAAATTCAAGTATTTACAACTGAAAAATTTCTTTACGATCTCTCATAATATTTTTTTACCAGTTTATAAAGAGTAAATGCCAAATATTCTTAAGTGATCATTTGTAAAACGGTATAGACTACTGTGTTGATTCTGTGAAATATTTTATGAATACTGTAGTTGAAATATAATTGTATAATATGAATATATTGTTAATGTCTATGCGTGATATCGGTTGAACACGGTTTTGGGTTTCATTTTCCTATACACGTTTACTATTTACAATTGAAAATCATCGGGACGGATCCATTGCCAAAATAATATTTTGTTTTTTTCAACCAAGCGATTCTGTTAAATCGATTTTTAAGAGCTAAGCTAAGGTTTATAAGCCTTTTACAGCGAAACATTTTGTATTTCTAATACCATCTTGTCGGAGATATTGTGACAAAGCAGATGAACGCACAACTAACATGTTTAAACAGCGATTAAAATTCATTTTAATGTGTTCGCGTGGAGAAAGAAGAATGGAGAAAGAAGAATACATTTATTTTACCGTAACATATACATTGAATCTATTGAGTTTCAACATGTTGTTACAATGCATATACACTCTTGGAAAATATAAAATGTTGGATTATATGTCCAAAAATTAAATGCATTAGTGAATTAAAACCTTATAATTATTAAAAGTCTTCTATTATAATCTTAGAATTTATTATTGTTGAACGCGTATTTTAAAAATAAAAATAAAAATAAAATTTATATCAATATATATCTTATTCTAGAAAAAGAATCTCAAACCCAGATCTAAATGCTGGATTGACAAGGATTTTTTTCTGTACCAATTTTTATTTTAAGTGTACATGACATACAAGAAGAGAAAATAGAGATATGACTTTATATCCTGCAGTCACAATCATGAGTATAATTTTTTTATCCATCAACGTCTGTAGTAAAAAAAAAAAAAATTATAATCATAAATAATCAACAAGATGTTATATAGCCAGAATTGTATTTTTTGTTTTATCTATAACTTATAACAAAAATCCTATAAAATATTTAAAATTATGAAACGTGTATAGAAAAATTTTATACACGTTCTATTTTCAACAATAATTTAATACCATTTTATGAAAAAGTTTGTAAACATAATTTGTTGTCCTCGTTTATTCCACAACCATTTAAGTTTTTTTGTTGCGATCATTCATTCGATACACTT